CTTGGTGATGGGACATCAGGGATGGAGCAGGGACAGAATGGGAGGAAGCCCAGCTCTCAGGCAGGTGAAGGGGGAAGGCCCGGGGGGTGGGTATGAGGCTGGCCGGGAGGCCCCGGGCATGGGCGCGTCAGCAGGCCGGCTGCCCACCCCGCCCCCACCCCCGCCCCTGCCTCTCTCCTCTCCCCAGGCCCTGGCCCTAGCTCCTGGCGGCGGGCTGCGAGCTTGCTGGCAGATCGCGAGGCTGCTTAGCAAGCGGGCGCCCTGTCATTGGCTGTGTACCTGCTCCGTCAGGGGCAGGCGCTGGGACACAGTGTTTAATCCCTGCTGCAGGGCGGGGATTAAATAAATGAACCCTGGGCAACGTGGAGTGAGCCTCCCACCGCGGGAAACACAGGCCACGGCCCGGGCCCAGGATCAGTGTGTGAGGCCTGGGGTCCAGGACAGTCGGGGAGGGAGAGAAGTTTGATGACGTCAGTGATTCTAGTTCCGTAGCAGCAGCAGCCACCGGAGGCCGTTGGCCGGGACCTGAAACACCAGCTGACGTCCAGAGCCTCACAACCTCTGGACACACATTCTCCAAGGCGGGCGGGATGCCTGGAAACAAACATCACCCCCACCCCCTGTCAGAAACTTCCAGGCTGGCAATGGAGATGGGCCATCCGGTGACTCCTCTGTGTCCTCCTGTCCCCTGGGGTCCTCCAGGATCAATGACCCACTTTGTTTCGTTCTGTTTCTGAGATGGAGTCTTGTTCTGTCTCTCAGTGTTGGAAACAGATGCTCGGTGCTGCAAAGTAAAATCAGCACTGAGACAAAGGATCTTTCAGCAACGTAATTTTTACTTCTTGGACTGCAGGAAGGGTACCCTCGCTAGCCATCGTGCCCCGAGAGTGCTGGAGTGCCTTCCGAGTAGCTGGGACTACAGGTGCCCACCATCAGGCTCAGCTAATTTTTGTATTTTTAATAGAGATGTAGTTTCACCATGTTGGCCAGCTGGTCTTGAACTCCTGACCTCAGGTGATCTGCCTGCCTCGGCCTCCCAAAGTGCTGGGATTACAGGTGTGAGCCACCGTGCCTGGCCTCAATGACCCACTTGTCCATTGGCCTACATTTACAACCTTAGGCAGCTGGAGCTGCTTCCTGCAGGAATCCCTCCCTGCCACCACTCGCCCCTCCATCCTGCAGGAAGCCCTCGCCACGCCACGTGCCCACCCACGAATGGAGGGGGTTCTCCTTGGGCTGCCATGGACCTTGCAGTCAGCAGGGCACCAAATGCACCCAGGTGTGTCTCCCTGCGTGGGCTGTGGGCGCTTCCAGGTGGAGCTCATTCTTGCTGGGCAGCTTTATTAAAGTAAGATTGTAGGTGGACGATCCTATGAGTATTGCAAAGGACCCAGCCCTCAGGATGCACAAGCATTCCTATGGCCCTGGATCTGCAGCCACCTTCTGCCTTCTGTAGCTGCGGTTTTAGTTTTTCTATAATGTCCTAGAAATAGCATCGTGCAGTGTGTGGCCTTCTGAGGCCAGGTTTCTTCGCTTGGCCTGGTGTGTTTGAGATTCGCTCACACTACGGCCAGGCTCCCCGGCCCGCTCTGGTCACGGCTGAGTCTCGTTCCCGTGTGGGTGCACCACAGCCTGTCTGCCCAGTCACCACCCAAGGACAACGGGGTTGGCTGTCCACTTCTCAGCTGTTACAAATAAAGTGGCTGTGAACATTGGCCTGCAAGGGGTGTGTGGCTGTGAGTTTTTATTTTTCTTGGGAAAATACCTGGAGGTGGGATTGTTGGATTGTACAGCAATGTGTTTAATTGTGTAAGAATTAACTGGTTCCCAAAGCATCATTTTTCACTCCCATCTGCAGCGTCAGAGAGTGTGAGGGGCTGTGCGTCTTCTAAATGGTAGTCGTTCTTTTTCTGAGGCAGGGCCTCGCTCTGTTGCCCAGGCTAAAGGGCAGTGGCTCTATCATGGCTCACTGCAGCCTCCATCTCCCGGGTTCAAGCAATGCTCCCACCTGAGCCTCCCAAGGAGCTGGGTCTACAAGCATGTAGTCCTGGCGTGTAGCCATGCCTGGCTATTTTATTTTTAGTTTTTGTAGGGATAGTGTGTTAGGCTGTTCTTGTGTTGCTGTAAATACCAGAGACTGGGGCCGGGCGTGGTGGCTCACACCTGTAATCCCAGCACTTTGGGGGGTCAAGGTGAGCAGATCACGAGGTCAAGAGATCAAGACCATCCTGGCCAACATGGTGAAACCCCGTCTCTACTAAAAATACAAAAATTAGCTGGGTGTGGTGGCACATGCCTGTAGTCCCAGCTACTCGGGAGGCTGAGGCAGGAGAATTGCTTGAACCCAGGAGGCGGAGATTGCAGTGAGCTGAGATTGCACCACTGCACTCCAGCCTGGTGCCTGGCGACAGAGCGAGACTCTGTCTCAAAAAAAAAAAAAAAAAGCCAGAGAGTGGATAATTTATTTTAAAATGAGGTTTAATTGGCTCATGGTTCTGCAGGCTGTAAAGGAAGGGTGGCACTAGCAACTGCTTCTGTGAGGGCTCGAGAAGCTTCCAATCACAGCAGAAGGCAAGCAGGGAGCAGGCATCTCACATGGCAGAAGCGGGAGCCAGGCCGCAAGGGACCCATCCCGAGACCACAACATCTGAGTGCCTCCTAGCTGGCCACACCCTGGTACAGCCCCGGGAAGGGGTGTACCAGGGTGTAGTTTTCCCACTGGCAGTTGTCCCGCTGACCCCCACAAAGATGGTGGCAGGGGGGTGCAGCATGCCATCAAGAAGGCATTGAGTTCGGGGTTTCCTGCAGCCCACTCAAGGGGGACAGCGAGGCCAAGGGAGGCCAGGAGGGCGATCCCAGGGTAGGCACTCAGAGGCTGAAGGCTGACTGGCCCCTCACACCTGGAGGAAGGGCAGGGGCCAGAAGAGACGCTCCAGACTGAGCCCCAGAGGCCACTGATGGCGTGGGCTGCTCAGACACAGACAGGGAAGAAAAGACCCCAGGGCCGCAGCGAGGGGTGGGAGTGGGCTGCCCGCTGGCAAGGAAGCGGGAAGGAGCAAGCAAGGACTCTGGCCACTTTAGTGGCCGGAAGCAAACGGCCAGCAGCGCGCAGGCTGCTGAGGACCCCACAAGGGTGCATCTGACTCTCTCGCAGGCTGGGAGGGCAGGTGGCCGTGGCAGCAGAGACAGGGCATCTCGGGAAAGTGCCCCTGCCTTCTGGCTGTGGTCCGATGCCCTCTCCTGGTCTCCTGCACACCTTGGCCTCTGTTGGCACCTGGGCCAGACCTCACGGTTTGACAGGTTCTCCAGCTTGAGGCCCCACACACTCATTACATTCAGCGGAAAACGCCAGCTGTTCCCACTCACAGCAGTAGCCCCCCGTGTGGCCCCTGCCCCTGTTCCAGGCTCTGAGTCCCCCTCCCCGTTCCCACTGGAGGGTCCCTGACCTCACAGGCCCCAGAATTGGGCAGGGAGGACCCTTAGTTCACAGCATGAGAAGGGAAGCGGGCTGGGGCCCATGCAGGCCCAGCGTGGACAGGCGCCCTGGGGGCTCAGTCCTCCTCCCCAGCTGGAAATGCAGAGAGCCCAAAGAGCAGGAAGGAGCACTAGGAAGACCCCCGCAGTTTCCTGAGCTTACACGGGCTTCCCAGGGTGGGGGGCCACAACGGGCAGCAGTAGTGCCTGGCAGAACTCAGGAGAAATGCTGCCCGCAGACCACGATCAGCCAAGATCTGGGATCCCCACCGTCTGCAGGGTTCCGGGTCCCCCTCATCTCTCCCTTCCCATTACCTGCCGCAGCACGTGCTTAAGGAAATAACAGTATTTTTCTGCAAGAAACATGGGGTCCGCCCAGGTCTGGCTGCCTCGTCGGCTGCCCGCGTTTAGACCTCCAAAGGCTGCTCCCTGCAGCCCCTGCCCAGCTGCTCAACCCGAAGGAGGGGTCGGCACCACGGGCCGGGAGGCGCCAGGGACTGCGGCCAGACCCCAGGTGAGTTCCTTGACTCCGCGACCTGCAGATCACCGCAGCAAAACTGGGAAAAGCTGCCGCTTCTCCTTCAGGGGCAGAGGCGGAGGAGCACGTCCGCCGCAGGGAGGCAGACTCACCGCCTGGACAGCGCCCGCGTGCAGCATCTCCCGCCCCCGCATGCCACCCCCACGGGTTCGGCACCCCCTCCCTGTGCAGCCCCCCCAGGGGTGCAGCATCTCCTCCCTCTCCCCCCGCCCCGCGCCGAGTGCAGTCACCCCAGGTATGCTCTCCCCACCACGTGCAGCCCCCCAGGGGTGCAGCGTCTCCCCACCCCCACCCCCGCCGCCCGCGTGCAGCCCCCCAGGTGTGCAGCATCTTCCCCGCCCCGCGTGCAGCACCCGCCCCCTTCCGGGGCACCATCCCCACCCACTGGGCCCGCGCGTGCAGCACCCCGTCGAGGGGCGGGAAAGTCTTTGGGACACCCGGGGTCACCGCCTGCAAGGTAACCCCCCGCCCCATCCAGGGCAGCCATCTGCACCCCCTCGCCATGGGCCCGCCGCCTGCTCCGCTCCGCGTTGCGCCTTATTAAGGGCGGGTCGGGCGGCCGCGGGAGCTCGGGCCGCCGGGTGCGACCGGACGCGGCAGGCGGCGGGCGGAAGGCTCCCAGGTCCGGCCTCGCCCCCTCGAGTCTCCTCCAGCGCTCGCCGCGGCGGGGCGGGGCGGGGCGGCGGGAGCGGGCGGCGCTGATTGGCCGGCGCGGGCCCCGCTTGCCGCGGCCGCCGCAGCCCGCTGCGTTCGCACAGGCTCGGGTCCGCTCGGCTCCGTGGCGCGGCCGGGCTCGGCTCGGCTCCCCTCCGTTCCGCTCGGCTCGGCTCTTCGGCTCGGCTGTTCGGCTCGGCCCCTCGGCTCGGCTGAGCGGCTCGGCTCCGTTCGGCTCGGCTCGGCTGCCGGACTCGGCCGTTCGGCTCAGCTACGCGGCTCGGCTCGGCTCGGCTCCATTCGGCTCGGCTCGGCTGCCGGGCTCGGCTGTTCGGCTCAGTTGCGCGGCTCGGCTCGGCTCGGCTCGGCTGCGCGGCCGCGGACGGGCGTGCGCTGGGGGCGCGGGGTACCGGGCGCGGGGCGCGGGCCTCGGCGGCGGCGGCGGCGGCGGCGGCGGCGGCGGCGGAAGCCAGGTGCCCCCGCCCGCCCTGTCCTCTCGACCAGGCGGAGGCGTCGCCGCGGGCCGGGCCTTGGGCTGCCGCGTCGGAGCGGGCGCGGGGGGCGGCGGCGCGGGCGGCGCGGAGCGGCGGGGCCCGCAGGGGCGCCCCGGCCCGGTCGGCGCGGACGGCGCTCGGCGAACGCGGGCGGACGCGGGGCGGCCCCTCCCTGCCCGCGCGCCCGGGCGCCCCTGGCCGGCGCCGGGCCCGGGAGCGATGACATCGACGGGGAAGGACGGCGGCGCGCAGCACGCGCAGTATGTGGGGCCCTACCGGCTGGAGAAGACGCTGGGCAAGGGGCAGACAGGTGCGTGCGCGGGCGGGGCGGGGGCCGGGGCCGGGGCCGGGGCGGCCGCGCGGGCGGCGCGCGGCGTGGGGGGCGCCCGGGGGAGGCCCGGCCGCGAACAATGGGCGGCCCGTGCGCCCCCGTCCGCCCGTGCGCCCGGGATCCGCCGCGGGTCCAGCAGGCCGCTTCGCTGCGGTCGGCCGCGCGCGGCCCAAGGACACGCGGGCGGACGGGGGCGCACGGGCCGGGCCCGGCCGGTGCCCCTCGGGCCCGGCTGCAGGTGCGCGGCCCGGGCCGCATTGTGCGCCCCGGCGGCCGGGCCCATTGTGCCGCGGGAGGAGGGGGCCGCGCGGGCGCCCATCTGCCGTCTGCCGCGGCCGCGCTAATAGGCGTGCTGCCCGAGCAGCTGCGCCCCCGGCGGGACTCCCACCGCCGCGCGCCGGGGCCGCCGGGCAGGCCCGAGCTCCCTCCGCGGTGGGGGCGGGAGAGCGCGGGACCCGCAGAGGGCTGGACAGCGCCTGACGCGGCGGGGCTCGGGCGGGCGGAGCCTCTGTGACCCGCACTCCCCCGGGGGAGGGAGAGGCCGCGGTTGCTGGGACAGAAGTGCGTGGGGCCCGACCCGTGGAGCGACCCCGCGGCCTGGCGGAGGAGGGGGCTTCCTGGCTGGGCCCGACTGTCGTTCTGGGGGACGGGCCGGGTCTCTGCGAGGCCCAACCCCGGCCAGAGGCAAGCCCGGCCACCCTCGCCGGCGGCCAGCTCTCCCTGGCCCTCTGGGTTCGGCCAGCCCCTCATCTGATCCGCCAGGCGCGTTCACAGAGTCGCCTTTGTGGAAGCTGGGGCTCAGCCATTTTCTTTCTTCTCCCACGGCCGGCCTGTCTCTTGGTGTCCTCGAGGTCCCATGGCACTGCCTCTCCCTTCCAATCCGAGAAGTTCTCAGACCCGGGCAGGCAGGGGTGGAGGGAGGGAGGAGGAGGGCGCTGGCGCAGGGTGGAGGCTCAGCCCCTCACGGCTGCACAGAGGAGGAGCAGGGAGGTGGTGTTGGGAAGGAAAGTGGGCCAGGCTCTTGGGGGAGGGCCGCGGCTGTGATGTAACTGTGGCAGAGCTGCAGGAAGGGCTTTCGGCGGGGGCTCGGGTTCAAGGGAGCCGCCTCACCTGGGTGCACGGCCTTTCCCCACCTGCCACCGCATGATGGGCCGCTGGCACACGGCAGGGCCTGGGCAGTCGGGGTGGTGCAGCCTGGGTTGGAGGAGGAGGTGGCATTCAGCCAGTGTCCACCTGAGTTTAAGGTTCTCATCTTGCCCGGAAAGGACAACTGTAGTTTGTGAAATCCTTGGTGAAGGGAGGGCCCAGGGCAGCAGGATGCAGGAGTCAGGAAGGTAATCTAATTACGGTCTCAATAAAACGTTGTGATAAGGAAGCCTCCGCCTGTGAGTGAAGACACTGAGTGACGTGCAGTGCTGTGCCGTCCGTGGGTAGGGCTGCTCTCCACTCTTCACGGAGTTCTGCTGGTGGCGGGTTAATTACGGGAGGTTTCCACTGTAATTAACAGTAATGAATACAAAAGGATGGGCTGTATGTGTCTACAACGTGCTGAGAGAGATGTTTAGAAAACAGCTGTCCGAGGGGTGTGCACAAAGCGGCCCCCTCTTTCCCAGTTCTGACTGGCACAGTGCTAGCGCGTCGCTGGAGGGCCCTGGAAAAGGCCACCATTTCCGTGCGTCTTCCCGCTGCTATGGCTGAGGGCCACCAGGAGTTGGGCGGACGTGGGGCCCCGCGTGTGTGTGCTGGGCTGCTTGGTACCAGATGCCAGGAGAGCTGCCAGTCCCACGCCCGGGAGGGAGATAGGCTGCCTGCCAGGAGACCTCTTTGGGAGAACCGGAGGCTGGGCTTCCTGCCGCTGCTGCCACCCCCAGGACGATCTGATCCTGCCGGGACCTGGCCACAGGGGAGCTGTGGCAGCCTGGCTTGGGTGCCATTGGTGTGGGCGTGACTCCAGCCCCTTCCCCACGTCCGTGGCTGGCAGCTTATTGGTTTGGCCCCCTCTGTTCATCTCTCCTCTGCCCGAGTCCCTGGAAGCAGGAGCTGCCGACTCGAGGTGGCCCCTGAGGGGGAGGTGGTCGGTGGCTGTGAGCCTTGCGGTGCCACGAGAGCCCTAATGCCAGGCTGAGCCAAGCTGGGCCTGTTGGAAGCTGGGCCACAGATGTGTTCTGAAACCTGCCCTTGTGTGGGGAGGTGACATCAGGCTGCGTGCGGCGGTGAGACCACGCAGTCTCCCTCTCCTGGGGCCTGGGGACGCCCGTCTAGGCTCTGCAGGGTCTGCTTAGCTGTCTTCTTGTGCCTTTTGGTGGGAGCGCTCCACGGTCTCACCTGTACGATGCCCGCCTGGCTGGTTGGGTCCGTGCGTCCTACATGGCCGCTGTGGCTGCGGGGTCAGCCCCCCTCGGTGGCTGCGGGAATTGCCTCCTGTGGTCCCACTGCCTGAGCTAGGCCCCAGGCGAAGCCCTCAGAGCACAGAGCAGCCACAGAAGCCTCCTCACAGAGGGGGACATAGGCTGAGGTCAGGTGGGAACCCACCTGTCAAGGTGGCGCCACAGCTCTTCTGGGGGCTGAGAAAGGCTTTTGTAGCCTTGTTTGGGTTGGACCCCGTGGCAGTGCCGGGACACAGTCCCTGCCAGCGAGGGCACTGTGGAGGTGGGAGGGTGCGACATGTGGAGATGCTCTGAGTGGGACCCATGGGTCCAGGAGGGAGAGTTGCGTGGGTGGGGGGCCGTCGTCCACTGCCCCATCAGTGCGCTGAGCAGGGCACCTTCTACCCAGACCTGGGCTCAGCTCCTACGTGGGAGGCCTGGGAGGGCCCCGCAGGAGGAGCTGGAGGCCCTCCGGCCTTTGGAGCTGTTCTTAGGGTGGGGCTGCACAGGACCACGAGGGGCCCGCCTTGGGCTCTGTCCAGGGGCAGGGAAGGAAGGTGAATGGGATGGGACTCTTTGCCAGGTAGCAAAGGAGAGGAGATTGGAGGAGGGGCTGCCCTGCAGCTCACCTGGCAGGATCACCTGCTGTGGGGCAGGGGAGGGCCCGAGGCAGCCAGGGACCTGGGACATCCCTTCCAAGTTCTCCTCGGTCTTTGGGAGGCCTGAGCCCTGGTGGCTGCGGGGTGCGGAGGGATCCTGGGGTGGGAGAAGCCAGTGAGATGGAACAGGTGAGGGGAGAGAGAGCCTGTGCTGGGGAGGCCCTGGGGGTGACCCCAGGCCCGGGAGCTGGAGGCAGATGTGGAGGAGAGAAGTTGGCCTGGACTGGGGTGGGTTTAGAAGGTTGAGCAGGATGGGCACTGATTGGCTGTGGTGTGCGGGGCCCTGGAGATGGGGCCGGTGGCTAAAGAGTCCTGCTAGAGTGCCGTGCAGGGCTGAGCCCGGAGGGCACGTGGGCAGACAGGACCCCGTGGCCTCCCCAGCCGTGAAGCTGGACTCAGTATGGGGTGTGCTGTGGGGATTCTGTGCCCCACACCGCATCAGGCCTTGGCCATGTGACTTGTGAGACCCCAGGGATTCTGTGCCTCCCTCCCCACAACATCAGGCCCTGGCCATGTGACTGCTGTGAGACTCCCAAGATTCTGTGCCCCCCCCCCACCACCCCTTGTCAGGCCCTGGCCATCTGACCTCAGCTGTTTTGTCAGGGCAGCTGCCACCTGGGGCTTGAACCCCTTAGCTGCCCTGCATGGGGCTTCCGCAAGTCCAGATCTCAGGACGCTGTTCTCAGGGCGCTGTGCACAGAGCCTGGGGAGCCAGCATGGACTTGACATCCCTCCCTACAAGATCCCTGGAAAGGCCCATTCAGCATTGCTGGGTGCCACGCCAGTGACTGCACCAGGGCGGAGGCCTCAGGATGCTGCCCCGGCCTCTTCTGCCCTGCAGGCCCTCCTCAGGGAGCCCCCTTCCCAGCTGAGGGCTGGCCTGAGTGTTCCCCCAGCTGGGGGCAGGAGCCCTAGGCCCATGTCCCATTCCTCCCCTCAGTGGCCTTGGGCACCTCCGGTGTGTGCGTGTGCCCATTGACATGGCTCTCCCTGCCTTTTCACTGATAATGTCTCAAAAAGACACCCTGGGCAGAGGGTACCACCCAGCCCTGACTGTGGAGTGACCCTGGGGCTCTCTCATCACAGCCTCACCTACCCTGGCACTCTGGGTGCCTTGCATCAGACAGGAGACCCCCCAGGCTGGCCCGAGGGCAGGTCGGACCCTGGTTCCTGGGAACAGCCTGAGTGGGCCACCCCATCCCTCCTGCCACTGGCTCTCATGAGGAGCCATTGGGAAGGCCCCTTCGCCGACACCTGCTGGTGCTCGTTTGAGGGCTCCTGTGCTTTCCAGGCCTCAGTGGGCACAGACCAGCTGCTCGGGCACCTGGGGAGGGTAGGTTGTCTCCAAAGTCAGCAGCCCTGCTGGGTGGCCGGCACCAGAAGAGGAGGCGGCTGGTCCCCGTGACTACTGGCCGCCAGCACCCACCTGTGTGGGCTGTGCCTGGCTCTTAGGCCTCGTGGCACTGTGGGGCGTCATCATTTCATGCTGCGCCCTGCCCTCAGCTCTGGACAGCCCACCTAAGCCCTGGCCCCTCGGGAGCAGAGGGGCTGGTGCCTCAGGGCCCCTGTGTGCAGAATGGGGTTTCCATGGAGCTTGTGCAGGTTACAGTGACTAGAAACATTGTGCTGGCTGGGGGGACACAGACTAGCATCTGTCAGGCCCCGTGGGGCTAACGCGGCTGGTCCTCTGCTGCCCCGCGCTCTAGTAGGATGTCCACGGCACCTGGCGCTGGGACAGAGCCCTCATCTGCGGGGCAGCCCTGCTTCCACCTCTAGGGCTGGCCCCTGTGTCAGCCATGAGCCCCAGGTCCTAGACCGAGCTGCTCGCAGGCCTCTCCAAGGCCTCGCCTCAGGGATGCCCGCCGGGTTAGGCTGCCCCGAGCCAGCTGCCTAGGGCTCTGGACAAGATGGAGGCTGGGCTGGGGCCGAGGCTGCAGGGACAAAGCAGGGATTG